GTTCAAGGACTTTACATTTAACCTAATGCATTTAATAGTATGCTATTGGTGGAATTATGTCTAGATTACAAAGAATCCAATAAGATTTTCCATAAACTTCTACAACCAAGCCATTGTATACAAAGGAGTGATTCCCCACACTACTTTGCAATGTTTTACCATGCCCTTTACATCAGATTCCAATCACATTAACTAGCCATGACACTAACTTGTGATGTTTTTCTATATTTGATAAATTGTAGGAACATATTTTTTTATGAGAACAACAATAGATATGTTATACATCATCAAATACTTTATTAATAATTTTTACGATTTTAAATATCAATCATATTTCTATACCAAGTTGATATACATTACGTCAGTCGTAACTCAAATTGAAATTTTATAATATCTATATATCATCAAATGAGTGAATATATATCAAATCAACAACTATCGATAAAAAGAAATATCAATGCACACATTTTGTTGAGTGAAAATAGTCATCATAATTATTGCAACATAGAATTAGGATATATTTTTCATAAATAGAATTATGAGACTTTATTATAAGATCATATTGTATGAATAATTTTTTATATCTAAATGATTGATAAGTAATTTCCCACCAAATGAAACTTCAATTAATAATAAATGTTTCTTTGTCATGATTTATGATCAAATAACTAAGGCAACATATAGTATTTTTAGGCTAGATATTAGTTATTATTTTTATTTCTCAATTAAGAAAATATATTTTACAAAGTATAGAGGACACTCTAACCACACGGGAGTGATTGCGTTTAATCATGCCCTTAGTTAAAAGATAAAATCCATTGTGATTCACTTTTCTTTTTTGTAATAATGATCAATTAGCATCTTCCTACTATATATATGTCCCAATTTCAACCTTTTCTTTTCAAGAACCATTCTCTCCTCCCTTTGCATTCCTCTCAATTTAATTTACCCTCTTTTCCTCTTTTTCATACAATTAAAACTAGCTATTTTGGTGATGAGCTTCTTGTTCTAGTATTGAGTTTCCAATGATAAGTGTGTATTGAAGTTATATTCTAATATGATTACTGCATTAGAATCGCATCCATTTAGTTTTGAGAGACAAGTACGAGTACTTGTTCTCTACAAAATGCATCTCTATGGGATATCAATAATTGTTACGAATACTGGGGTAATGAAGTTTCAAGACAATATACATCGGATTAGTGATTTACCAGAAGTTATGACCCATTTTAGCGGTCTTATATAGCAGAAACAACAAAACCTTGGGGAAAGTTTCGAGTTTTTACAAGAGTTGTTTCAGGTCGAGAAATGCAGAATAGGATGCCCAGAAGGTAACATTCATAACTTTCATTACTTCTTTTTGAAATACTTCCATGTCATTTACGGTATCTTAACTAAGAATATTTTATTTTATTTTCAATTGACTTTCCTAAAACATTTGAAATTATTTTCATTAGTTCAAGGGACAAAACCCTCGCATGTTCTATTTCAGTATATTTGAGTAATAGCTATTCTTCAAACAATTGGGTTAGCCGTGTATGACAAAATTTAGTGAGAAAGTCGAAACCTTAAAATTTAGAATTACCAAATCTTAGAATGGAAGTACATTTAAATTTGGAATAGGTACAATATAGAGATTACCAGGAAAAAAAAATAAGGGCATGAGATTTTTCTTCAATCTTTTTATTTCAAGTCTCTAAATTAATGTATAATGATTTTAGAAATTATTCCTTATAGTTAACCATGGATTTTCATCTTAAACAGGATAAATGAAGGTTTGCAGTTTCATCTAATATTGGTTTAGTGATTCACCAAGTTTACTTTGAAGCTGACCAGCAAGGAAAGTGTGACAAGCATGTGTTGATGATGACGATGACGAT